CTGCGCCCTCTTTCTGACAGAGGATGGGGGGACAGGGCCTAGGCAGTCAGTGTGGTGCAAGTGTGAGCATGTGGGGCGTGCCCGTCACACTCAGTGTGTTCACATGCCGACAAAACCCAAAAATGACATTACTTATATTAAGGCACCTGGGAAGACTGCCGCTTTGCAGCCCCTGGATTTGGGGGGGAGGAGTTGGGAGGCTGCCTGGCCAGCGGGGGGGTGGGGCGCAGGCTGGGGGGGCCCGGGGGCGGGGCCGCGGGGGTCGCAGGGCTGGGGGCGGGGCCTCGTGCACTCAGTGGGGAGCTGGGGCCCAGGATGGCGCCCCCGACTGGGCGGTGAGGCCGGCCCCACCCTCTGTGCCCTCTTCTCGGGAGGTGGGGCAGCTGGCCCGGGAACTGTTTTAACCTTGGACGCGGTAGGGGCACTGCTTCTGTTTGGGGGAACCAGGAAAGGCTGCTCAAAAGGTTATAGCAGTTGAGTTTTCCAGCTGTACCACCAGACTTCTGTTGAAATCCTCGTCTTATTGTGTCAGAATCTCTGGAGGTGATGGGGGCGTTAAACTGAGACACTTTATATAGAGCTTGATCAGAGTACCCGGCAACAGAACTTAAAAATGTTAGTATTAATAGTGGGTTATTAAAAATCCAAACTGTTCTATTCTTATTTCCTTTTAGTTTATACATGGTATCATTCAAAAGCATTTGGAATGGGCCAGGAAGAAGACGCTAAATATTGTTTTAAGTACTTTGTTTACCTTTACTCATTTGGATTTTTGCTGTCAGGTGAGTTCTGGTATAGCCACGATTAATAGAATCGACAGCTACATGGAAGGTTTCTAGATGATAGAAATGGCCTTCATGACGTTGTGATATTTGAAATGCTACCTTCTTTCTAAGCATCTACCAGTGTGATGATGTGAAGTAGGCCAGTAACTGCGCGCTGGGCAGGCCTTCTGTTCGTGTGAGATGTAGCACTGATTTTTAACAACTTTCTTTGGCTCAAAACGTTTAAGCTTTTCTTGTGAATTTCTGGTATGTGTGCAGTATAAAACAGTCGTCTACCAACTCGGTTTTCAGATCAAACATTAGTCTGAAATCTTAAGGTAACTAGAAAGAAAATAGTTGCCCACAGGCAGCTAATTGTAGGCTTGATGCCTTGCCTTTAAAATGGAAATTCCTTCCCTGTTTTACTGCATTGTCTTCATTTCTTGTTTGCTCATTTCCTCTTCGAGGGGTCCTTTGTGCTTCATTATCCTTCTTTCTGGTGTTGTTCCAGCTAAGTTTCTGCCATTTGCCTCAGGCTGTTCTTGTACTCTGGCGCTCCCATTCTGTTTGCTGTCCACCGGCTACTGTTTCTGCATGTTGATGAGGGGGCCTGCGCTCCCCGCCCCTGCAGCCGGGCAAGGAGCCCGTGCGCACGGGGAGGTGCTGTGCGTGCAGGTCCTGATGCGCTATCTGCACAGACAGCCACTCCCGCCCTGGAGGCGCTGCGTGGCCTGGCCCTGGGCTCCCCAACCCCTGGAGGGGGAGGTTTCCATTGGTCTGGGTGTGTGTGCATGTGTGCCCATGTGTCTGTACACTCAAAATGTAGCCCATGTGGATTTAATTATTTTTCTTACATTATAGTGCTAATGTAAACATTTACATTGTTTAAACCATTTAGTTTGAATAAGACTTAACTCTTTCTAAATTTTTAAATGTTTATCTGAAAAACTGCTTTTAACATCTTGGTATTCTCTGGCTTTTGTGGTCTCTGAGCTTCTATTTGATCGGCGAGGACTGTGCCGCTGGTGAACCCTTGATGGAGAGGCCGCGTTGAGCTGCAGTGGTTGTGACGGGGCTGCCCGTGCGGCCCAGGTGCCCCTCCGTGGCCGCACCGGCCGGGCCCCTCACTGTACCCTGAGGATGCTGGGCCTGGCAGGAGGATGGGGGCGGTGGTGTGTGTGTGTGTGGAGACAGGCTGGCGCGGAGTGGTTTCTGAACTGTTGATGCCACTGCTTCTCTAACTTTGTACTAATAATTATTAACTATGTAAGGGTTGGTTTTTAATGTTCAGACTTTTAAGTGATTTCTTTATCTACAGCTGTAACTACATGACTTTTGTGTAATGTGGCTTAAAGAAAGGAGCACGCACTGGTCCAGGGCTCAGAAGACTTCATTCTAGTACAAGTTTTGCTGCTTCACTAGGGAAGGGACATTGAGTCTTTAATCTCTCTGTGCCCTGGTTTCTGTAACTGGGGGTGATGGAAGGAGATGCCTTCTCATCCTCCATGGAGACAGAAATGATAACATGGAAACGTTCTTTTAGAAAGTCCAGGAAGCAGGTGATGTTTATAGTGAATGGTAATGATTACTAGCCTTCCCCTGTCCTTTTTAAATTCTGAAAATAAAAAACACAAGTTTTGAAACAAATTGAAACAGTCCTTGGTAGAGAATGTGTTTTAGCAAGCCAAATGTAGTAAGTCAAATTAGCAGACATTGAAATCCAGTGGGAAAACTCGTTGGGAATTTGTGTACTGATTTTGCAAGGGCAAGACGTTTTCATGTAAGTTAAGGATTTGTTTTTCGACAATTCTGTGAATGCTTAGCTTTTTTAGTAACAAGGAGAATTGATGGGAGTTTCAATCCGTCATATTAGGGGATTGTGTGGGGAGAAGACTGGAGGACTTCGAACAGACTTAAAAGACTGTACTACTTTGAACAGACTTAAAATTTCTGAAACATGTTCAGTTTCTAAAGTAATGCAAACACATTATTTGCCTGTAGTCGCTGAGCCTCTTGGTTCTCACACAGCGCATCCTGAACTCACTGATGTTGTACAAGCCAATTGACATGTCCTGGGGCAAAAAATAGATTGATACCTTTTTCCCCAATTCACCAAAAATAATAATAGTGGTAATAATAATAAGTTAATGATAGCATTTTCTCATGTTTAAGGTTTTTTTTAATATAAATTTATCCTAATTGTTAGTGTTTGCTATTACTTGAAACAGCAAAAAGTTTTAACTGAAAAACTGGAAATAGTTACTTATGCTCATTTTTACTTTTGTTCCTCTTGGTTGTGGTTTATTTTGGAGGACATGTGCTTCTGTTTGTGAGTTTAAGTTGCATGAAATAGTCATATTTTCTGCTAATAAAGTGCTTCCATGTTCATGTGATAGAATGAACATGTCTGTTTGATGAGGTTGCTCCCCTGTCCTCAGCTCTGTAGCTTAGGGGTTCAAGCACCACGGACTCACATGGCAGTGTTATTTGAGCTTCTTTACTGAGTTGTGGATGGCACAGAGATGTTCCTTTAGTTGTGTTTTAAATCTAGAATACCCTGTCCTTCTAAAATATTTTATTTCTGGTTCATATTACCTGATGTACTACACATCAGGTAAATGGAACGTGGAATGGGCTGGAAAACATAAAATAGCACCTGAAAGAAGTCTAACTTCAGAATGAATGTTGCCGCTTTGAATGAGTTAGAAATGGAAAAAATTACTTTCATGTATGAGTTATATTTGAATTCTTTTATGTCATGGTTGTGTGTTAGCTTAAAATTCTGTATATTATAAATTAGTAATAATCTACGCATTGTTTTATTGCTTCACCTTTAAATTGTCCGTAGTGCTTATAGAGATATAACATGTGTAACGCATAAACATATGTGCTGAGTATATTTTTTTATGGCTCTGATAATGTGATATCATGGAAAATTATTGAAAAATATTTGCAGTTGGTTTCTTCCAAACTAACCTTTCATGGGTTTCACACACACTTTTATAAATTAAGTAGTAAAGAATATTTTACTGTGACCATTTGTTCATTGCAATTAATGATAATTTGTTTCACTGAAGCTTAAACAGGGAAATAAAAGATACTAATTTCTATAGTTACACCTCAAAAAAAGAGAAGAAATCTGTGAGTTTCTGTGGGTTGTGTTAGAAATACCTAGTACGTGGTAGATCTTGCGTTAAATCTGTTCAGTATCCAAGGATACTCTGTGCAAGACGTCCATCCCCCTCCTTGTCGAAGACGTCTTAGAAGATGCCTCATTTGCCTTTGAGGAGTGTGTGGTTCAGCAGAGGGATCAAGTGAGGTTGTAAGCTGTAAAGTGGGAGCTCGATTAGGATGTAAGTCCTCGGAGATTGGAATTGTGATGTTCTGAACTGCTCCTTGGGTCGTGACCACGGAAAACTGAGCTGTGTGAGCTGTCCTGCTCCCTGAAACCCCATGCTTGCAAGCTCTCTGCACCGCCCCCCACCCGGCCCCCCACCCGACACTTGGGAGTTCTGGACTGACGTCAGGGGTGTCGGTGCCGCCCGGCGGCTCAGTGCACCCAACACTGAGGGTGGCCGCACTTGAGTACAGAAAGGGTCTGTTTCAGTGTTTTGTGGATACTTCCTACGGAATCAGTGTATAGTGTATGTTTGTTTTCTTTCTGTCCAGTTTTTTTCCTTACGTAACTTTAAAATTTAACATTCCAGACATTTTAAACCATTAAAATTTATTTCCAAGGTAGGTAAACGTGATATGAAGTAATATTGGAAACACTCACACACACGCGCACACACACACACACATGCATATTTATGGAGAGGCATCCTTCGTAGGAACATGGTATCGTATCCCAGCTTAGCCAGTGACCACAAAAGTAGTGCCAGTTTCATAAGGTTATGGGATTAAATGAGTTAATATATGTAAAGTACTCAGAACAGTACCTTACATGTAAGGAAGCATCAGGACACAGAATAATGTCAATAGTATAATACCATTTGTTAAAAAGGGGTTTGCATATATACTTAGAAACTGGTGGGTAAATAATATTTCTTTGAGAACAAACAAAACTGGAAATGGTTTCTTTGGGAGAGAGGAGAGAGCCTGGGGTAGAAGGAGGGCATACATTTTGTTGTTAACTTTTTGAACTTTTAACCATATATTTTTAGAATAAAGCCATGTTTCAAGTAATTTAAGAGATTCTAGAATCTTTAAGACAAGAATCTACGTTCTTTTCAGACGGCCCTGCCGAGGTGCCAGTGACTAATGGGAACACAGCCACGGGACAGGCCTTGAACGATGATCTGGACATCTTTGGACCGATGATTTCTAATCCCTTACCTGCAACCGTCCTGCCGCCAGCTCAGGTATGTGTTAAGAGTATGGTTTTACACTGTGTATTTTCTTTTTGGAAAGTTTCAATTTTGGATTGTTTCTTACTTGAAACAAGCCTCTAGATCTTTAGGCCAGGAGTTGGCTAACTAAGCCTGCAGCTTGTTTTTGCAAATAAAGTGTGATTGGAGACGGCCACTCCGTTTACTTACACGCTGTCTGTGGCCGCTTTCACTCTGCAAAAGCAAGTTGAGCAGTTGCAGCAGATATTCCGTGACCCACAAAGCCTAAGAGTCACTGTCTAAAGTTTGCTAACTCTTGCTCTAGGCAAACGGTGCTTAGAATGAGTAAGTGGGAAAACTCGGACTGTTTCAGCCTTGCCTGCGATCCACAAGGTTACTTACTTCAGAGGGTTTTGAACTGTTTGGCGTGTGAACGTGGACTAGAAGCCCGTAGTTCTTTTCTTGCGCTCTGTCGGGCCAGCCCAGGACAGTGTTTCCTTCCGGGTGCCGGGAAACTGAGAACAAGAAATTCTAGCAAACTCAGTACCCATATGCTTTTTTATGAAGACACGTTATTTCTTAGCCTTAAAATCTGCCTTTTTTTATTTTAATGATTTTTTAAAAAATTATTTAGAACGTAATACTAACAATAAAGATTTTTAAAAAGTATCAGTGGTAAAGAAATTTTGACTTGCCTTCTTAACTTTACATGGAATTTTTTTTTTCTTTTTTGCCTTTATTCTTTTTTTTTTTTTAATTGAAGTCTAGTTGATTTACAGTGCTGTGTTAGGTTCAGGTGTACAGCAAAGTGATTCAGTTATACATATATGTTCTTTTTCAGATTCATTCCCCCTATAGGTTATTACAAAATATTGAGTATAGTTTCCTGTGCTATATAGTAGGTTCTTGTTGGTTAACTGTTTTGTATATAGTAGTGTGTATATGTTAATCCCAAACTGATTTATCCCTCCCCCCCTTTCCCCTTTGGTAACCATAACTTTGTTTTCTATGTCTGTGAGTCTATTTCTGTTTTGTAAGTAAGTTCATTTGTGTCGTATTTTATTGATTGATTGATTGCCACACCACACAGCATGTGTGGGACCTTACAGGGATCAAACCCGTGCCCCCCGCCCCCTGCAGTGGAAGCGAGGAGTCTTAACCACTGGAATGCCAGGGAAGTCCCTGTGTCGTATTTTAGATTCCACATACAAGTGATATCATATCATATTTGTCTTTTCTCTGACTTCACTCAGTATGATAATCCCTAGGTCCATCCAAGTTGCTGCAAATGGCATTGTTTCATTCTTTTTATGGCTGAGTAATATTCCATTGTATATACGTACCACATCTTCTTTATTCATACCTCTGTTGATGGACGTTTAGGTTGCTTCCCTGTCTTGGCTATTGTAAACAGTGCTGCTATGAACATTGGGGTGCATGTGTCCTTTTGAATTACGGTTTTCTCTGGGTATATGCCCAGTAGTGGGATTGCTGGGTCGTATGGTAGTTCTATTTTTAGTTTTTTAGGGAACCTCCATACTGTTCTCCATAGTGGCTGCACCAATTTACATTCCCACCAACAGTGCAAGAGGGTTCCCTTTTCTCCACACCCTCTCCAGCGTTTATTGTTCGTAGATTTTTATGGTGATGGCCATTTTGACCAGTGTGAGGTGGTACCTCATTGTAGTTTTGATTTGCATTTCTCTAATAATTAGAGATGTTGAGCATCTTTTCATGTGCTTTTTAGCCATCTGTATGTCTTTGGAGAAATGTCTATTTAGGTCTTCTGCCCATTTTTGGATTGGGTTGTTTGGTTTTTTTGATATTGAGCTGCATGAGCTGTTTGTATATTTTGGAGATTAATCCCTTGTCGATCACATCTTTTTTTTTTTGTTAAATATTTTTTCACCTTTATTGAGGTATAATTGAAAAATAAAATTATATGTTTAAAATGTATAACGTAATGTGTTGATATATGTATTCGTTGTGAAGATTCCTACCACCAAGTTAATTAACACATCTATTATCTCGCAAATTTACCTTTTTTGTGTGTGAGAATGCTTAAAATCTACTCTCATTGAATTTCATTTATACAATACAGTATAATCAACTATAGCTACCATGTTATGCATTAGATCCTCAGATCTTACATCTTATAACTGAAAATGTGTACCTGCCTCCCAGCCCTTGGCAAACACCATTCTGCTCTGTTTCTATGGGTTTGCCTTTTTTTTTTTTTTAAGATTTCACATATAAGTGATACCGTGCAGTATTTGTCTTTAAGGTGAGATATTAATATATAACTTTCAGGGACATAGGTTACTCTTAAGCCCACAACTTAAGATTCTGTTTTGGGTTTTTGTTTGTTTGTTTGTGTTTTTTTTTTTGCGGTACGGGGGCCTCTCACTGTTGTGGCCTCTCCCGCTGTGGAGAACACGCTCCGGACGCGCAGGCTCAGCGGCCATGGCTCACGGGCCCAGCCGCTCCGTGGCACGTGGGATCCTCCCGGACCGGGGCACGTACCCGTGTCCCCTGCATCGGCAGGCGGACTCCCAGCCACTGCGCTACCAGGGAAGCCCGAGATTCTGTTTTAAATTTACAAATAAGCAACTAGTTTTTTGTAGTAAAGTATAATTTTTGAGGTAAAATATTTCTCTTTCTCTAGAAAACCTGAGCCAAATGGGAATTGTTTGGATGGAAAGTTTTAACAAGAAAGAACCAATGTCTTATTAGGAAGACGAATTACGTATATTTTTATTATATATATTTATTGTCATTATGATAGTCATTGTATAATTAACGCTGGAATTGAGCAAATAGATTTCTGAGGAATCATTAGTTTAAGTGGAGCTTTATCTGCAGCATCGCTGTTTATTTTCAGAGAAGATAGCTTTATTTTATGGCTTTGCCTCTTCTCCTCCTTCCCCCAACACGTAAAAAGAGGAACTAAGTATTGCTAGTATCGTTTTGGTTAACATTAATTACCTTGTGAATGTGTGCAGCCGTGGGTATGCGTGTGGTAGTAAAAGAAAAAGTCTAACACTAACATTTTGGGTGTGGAAAGAAGTATTTGGGATACTTGACAGTCCGAGCATGCAAAGCAGCTTCTTTTGGTCTAGCGTTCTAGCGGGGCCGTTCGGCCGGCCCGCCTTCCTTAGACTCCACTGTGGGGCGGGAACCGCTCTGCAGCTGCTTGGGCGTTAGACCCCAGGCCAGCCGAGGCCCCGTGGGTTCTGTGCAGGGAGAGCAGCGAGCCGGACAGTGCGGACCTCAGCCCCCCTCAGTGTGCGTGCAGCTCCTCCTCGTGCCCCCAGGGCCGCCCTGGCCTTCGTGCTGGGCCTCTGTACCTGAGAGGAAACAGGGCAGGTCTTCAAAATCACATCTCATTCTTTTTCTGGAATGTTTTTGGACCAAAATGGTGTCAGTTTTATGGAGCCCTCTAAAATAATTTGGTGAACAGAATTATCTTCCCTCCAAACTACATGTAAAGACTCTAATCCAGACATTTTGTCAAAATAATGTCTTTGAAAATTGGGGGAGGGAGAGAGAAGGTGGGTTAAAGCACACATTTTACACACACACACTGTACATAGTTTACTAATTTGGTGGCTTTTTATGCTGTGAAATTGAATTGGACCCCACTAGGAATTACTCTGAACCCTGCTTCTTTCAGTCCTGATTTTCTGAGTGTGGTGCAAATTCTGGTTGAAGATTTCCCCTCACGTGAATGTGAGCTGGATTGATGTGACCGTCTGCTTTCCTGTCTGGCTGTGCAGTCTTCCCTGAGGGGCTGGGGACGCTCAGCTGACCCGAGAGGACGCGTGTACTGGGGGTTGAGGGGGCGTCGTTCCAGTGTCCCCCAAGATGACACGTAGAAGCCCTCCCTTTCCTGTTCTGTCCATAATATCCACATCCCCACAGCATCTAGACTCACACAGGTGCTGTGGCCTGTCCTCGGTTTGGCCCCGGATCCCAGACGGCCAGAGAGCCTTTGGCTGGGGATCCTGCAGCCTCCGGAAAGTGCGCACGTACCGGCAGCAGTGGTTCTCCTTTTACCTTGGAGTGGTCCTGCCGGCACGTGGGGAGCCCCCATCACCTGCCCTGTAAATGGCCGTTCGAGCACCTGCTAGCCAGGCTGCCAGGTGGCTGTGCTTAGACTGTGTCCCTGTGGAGGCAGGCGTTCATCGGAAGAAACACATGCGTCTGGAGCACGGGGCTGCTCTAGCCTGAGGTGGAATAATAGTAGCTTTCCCAAGCACTTCGGGTTTTCTCACACGTCTGTGTCCTCCTCAGGGAACAGATCCCAGGGTTTTGAGCAGGTTCTTAGACTGAACAGAAACTAAACGTGCTGGAGGATCATTTAGTGAGGTGTGGCTGCTTTGTCACCTAGCAACACTAACAGCAATGCTGGCATCTGCCAAGCACTCCTTGTGGCTGTCGGGCGTGGCGGTAAGGCAGCTCCTCCCTGGGCCCAGAGGAGGGCGTGGGAAGGTGGAGTGGCAGGTCCGAGGGCACTGGGGCGAGCCTGCAGGCTGGCTGCAGGGCCCACGCTCTCGGCCTCTGCCTTCTGCTGCTTCATTGCTACGTCAGATATATTTGATTCAAGCCCACTGTTGTATTTGAATTCCATCATGTCCGGTTTCTTACACATTTCAGATCTTTTGCAAAATTATGTGGCTTTTTTTCCTATCTTAAAATTCTTGTTTGATGTCATAATAGATTCAAAATATTGTTCTGCTTAAGTTAGTTTGTGAGCATAATGCTTGGATGCTAATTTATTGAAAGGTTTTTTAGCCAAGGCATTAAATGTTTGATTTTTTAAAAATTCAAGCCAAATCATGTACACTATGATTTAACTTCTACTTGCTGCTCACCTCATTCTATAGTTTGAGAATACTCTTATCCAGTTTTTACTAGTCTTCATAGACTTCTCTGAAACTCTTCATATCTAAGTCAATTCCCTATACGCAAATGTGATTGAATATTTAGTGACCGCAGAGATCATTAAAGTGAGGTGTCAGTTGTGACTGTGTAATACTATCTTTGTGCAAGATACAGGAGATGAAGTGAAATTTTTTGTTTTGTATTACAATATGCACATGCTCATTTGTATTCGTCTTCTTACCCCTGTCTACAAGCAGAATGCAAGGTGTAGGGGAGAGTGCAGGTGGTCGCAGTTTTGCTGGACCTCATATCTGGGTAGACTGGAAGCATTCTAATATTGCGGTAAAAACGGATTAGATTCGGTTCATAAAAATATCATGATGTTGCTTTTGAAAATCAAAACTTTTCTTTTCCCCCCCAAAGAAGACAAAATCGGCCATTGCAGGACCCTCCTGCAGTCTGCTGTAGTTGTAGAAATGTTCTTCACTCCAAGGGATACCAGTTCTTGGCAGCAGTGATTGTGCGAACAATCAGGAGATGTGCGAACGTCTCCCAGGAATGCTGGTCCTCAGGCGGCACCACATGCCTGTTGTTGAAGCCACTGTGGTCAGGATGTAGTGGGCAGAACTCTGCATCAGAGAGGTTCTGTCTACTCCTTTTACATTAACAGATTCAAAATAGGAAATGTTCCTCTATCCTGCACGTAGGTTTTGCATGGGCTTTGTCAGCGATTCCCTTTAGTGTCACCATGTTACCTTCTACAGTTGTTTAGTTTCTAATTTCATAACTTCATTTGGATTTCAAGGAATGGATGAGCTGTGTTTTATTATGCAGAATTCGACAGCTTGTTTTGGTATCTGTCTCAGGGGACGTCCTCTGTACCAGCAGTTGCCGCTCTGTCTGCAGTGACATCTGGGGATCTGGATCTATTCACTGAGCAAACTACTAAGTCAGAAGAGGTGGCCAAGAAACAGCTCTCCAAAGACTCCATCTTGTCTCTGTATGGCACGGGGACCACCCAGCAGCAGAGTGCTCCTGGTAATGCATTTGAAATCTGCTTTCCGTGAATCGCAGTGACATCACTAGAAGTGTATTCTTTGTGCTTATGTAATGTCAGTTACATTTCTTCCTTGTTTTTCCTGTGTAGTGAGTGCTTTTGTTGTGGTGGTTTACACAACTACAAAACTGAAATGAAAGAAGCATTAGGATTAGAACGCACAAAACTTTATTCATTTAGGATTAACAAGCTGGTCGCATGTCACTTAATGTTTTACAAGCCTTATAGGACAGGGATTATCTTTGAAGAATTATTTAAATTTGATTTGCCTGAAGTTTATAACTCTGTACAGTGTGGTATTCTTTCTGCACGTAAACAGTAAGTCTGAAATATCACATGAAATCAAAAAAAGCTTTGAGGTTTTTTTTTAATATATCAAAAAGAAATACTAGCATGGTAAAGATTTATGTTTACACAGTTTTAATCTGTCATTTCCTCTAAAATAATGGGCTGCATTTCACGTAAGAGCTGAAATTATATGACGTCTCAGCTGCTTCCATCAAAACCAGAGACAGTCCACTCTGACTTGTTTACTTGGTAGTGAGAGACCAGTGGTGCAAATCAGCAGAAACACAGTCTCATGCTATATAGTTTGGTCTTCACAGTGGATATTTTATGTAGCTGTTGCACAGGATTTATTTGCCCTAGTTAAATTTGCTCAGGCTCCTAACTGATTTGTCTGCTTCCTGGAAGTAACCAGCCCTGAGGGTGCAGGTGTGAGCTGCTCTGAGCAACAGGAGCCAGACCAGAAGGAAAGCCTTTGCCGTGGGTAGTTCAGCAAGACGGGCTTCTGTTTCTGTGCTGACAGAGGCGAGTGCAGCGCTATGCGGTAACCCTGTTCTCTTCGTTTGTTTTCTCTGCTCGGTTCTTCTGCTGCAGGTGTGTTTATGGGACCCACAAATATACCGTTTCCCTCACAAGCACCGGCTGCATTTCAAGGCTTCCCGTCCATGGGCGGGCCTGTGCCTGCAGCTCCTGGCCTTGCGGGAAGCGTGATGGGGCCGAGCGCGGGCGTGATGGTGGGCGTGCCCCTGCCCAACGGCTTCATGGGAAACGCACAGACTGGGGTGATGCCACTTCCGCAGAGTGTGGTCGGCCCCCCAGGAGGGATGGTGGGACACGCGGGTGCAGCCCAGAGTAAGTTTGGCCTGCCGCCAGCTCAGCAGCCCCCATGGAACCTCTCCCAGGTAGGGTCCTTTCTCTCCAATTTCTCCAAAATCAGAGAAACCAGATCTTGTTTTCTAAATGGTTTTATTTGTTTTTAAATCTAACAATCTGGCAGAAAGAATTGAGTAGGGATAATGTTATAAAAGGTAAAAACTGTCTAATCAAATAGACAAATGAGCTGTCATTGTTCCTATATTTAGAATATTCTGTAGAGAATGTTAAGCATTTTTTCATTTCTGATTATAACACAGCTGTAATGGAGAATGTCCCTCATTTGTTTGTAACAGCTAGAAATTATCTTGGGCATCTTTTGAAATTAGCACCAAGCTTTAAACCCAGCCCCCTGGTGGGTTGTTTGTATACACCACTTAGACCAACCTATTTTCACTAATAATTTTGGGGGCTCTTGGTAACTTTCACAAATTAGAAAACAACCCAGCCTCATACTCTCAGAGCACTGTTTTTGAGAGATCTAGGCTGTGCGTGGATTTATAAAAAATCTTTTTGTTCAAATACATTTCTAAAGTTGTATTTTCTTCTTACTTATAGTCACATTTATGTTTAAAAAATATATACACTAGTTCAAGAATTCCCGTAAGATATGAACCAGTCCATATTTGTGTCTTACATCCCCTCATATTACAAAATCCTATTTCTGCCTAACTTAGTTTAGAGCCAGGAGATGACATTTTAGTATTACCTCTTTCAAATCCATTCTGACTTTCCTCTGGCTTCACAGACAGAGGCCTCAGACCTAGGTTCGTGGTCCCACTCTTCTTCCTTGTACACTTCCTTATTTGATGTTCCTCTGGTATTTTGATGCCCTTGACTTCTGTTCTCGTCAGCATTCAGGGAATAGTATATAGCAATTTCTAACCGACATTATTAGCAAAATCACTGTATATCCCATGAATGTTCCAAGTTATTTTTTACTATCACTATTTAAAGGAATATCTGTATGACATTGGTCTGTGCACTCTGGGAATCTCAAAAATCGTTAAGTGTCAAATGTCAGTAATAGCTTTTGTGCAGCCGGAATGCTGAAGCAGACCCAGCCCAGGTTAGGGTGCCTGCTGAACCAGTAAGGACTTACCCCACCTTACTTCCGGGCCCGCCGAAGGGGGTGCTCTTCTCCAGCTCTCTCTTGGTGGGGTCTGCTGGCCATGACAGGTACTAAACATCCTTTAGTACCTAGGAAGAAGCGACCTGCCCCTCCAGACACTGTGCCTCATCAGTGATGTGGTTAGTATTAGGGTTTTTGAAGAACTAAGAACTGCAGACGGTTGAACTTTATTAATACAATCCAACCCTGAGCATAGATTTTTAATCTTTTTTTTTTTTTCTTTTTTGCGGTAAGAGGGCCTCTCGCGGTTGGGGCCTCTCCCGTTGCGGAGCACAGGCTCCGGACGCGCAGGCTCAGCGGCCATGGCTCACGGGCCCAGCCGCTCCGTGGCATATGGGATCTTCCTGGACTGGGGCACAAACCCACGTCCCCTGTATCGGCAGGTGGACTCTCAACCACTGTGCCACCAGGGAAGCCCTGAGCATAGGTTTTGAATCCACTCTACTTAGTAGTAAATCTCCTTGCCTTTCCTTCACTTACCATCAGTCTTAGAAGTGAGAGCACCACAGGGGAGGGTTAGGAGGCTTATGTACACACGGCTCCAGTCTGGAAGGAAAGTACATGTAATCTTACACCTTTTGTCATATAATAGGCATTTATATGGTTGGCTATAGCAAAAGAAAAATATGTTTTATGACCTTTTAAAATGTTAATAAAGTATACAGAGCTATTTAAGACTTGAATAAAGACAGAACAATTGCCATCATACAAGTCATAATTTTGGAGTTTACTTTCAAACATTTCCTTAGTCCTTAGTAGTTAAACTATAGTTGAAGGCATATCCTAGAAAGTATATAGTTGAAAGTATTGCTAGTATAGTTGAAAGTTCGAATAGCAGACTCATGGTACATCCAGATATGAATTCAGCGATTGCTTTGGTACTTTTTCCAGTTGTGGTTAATCTTTGGGGGACAAGAAATTGAGTCCAGAAAATGAATAAATACAAAATGACTTGAGACCACTTTATAGACAGGGTTGAAAAGCGGAAGGAAATAGCAACCAAGAAGGGAACACGGTAGCTATTTGCTTTCTGTGGAGAAAGCATCGTGTGGCCGTCTGCTTTTACCCCAGGGCTCGGACAGCTGTTCACATGGATGAAAAATACTTAGAGTTGCTATTAAGTGTCCGTGTCTCTCTGAGTAAATCAACTTCGAGTAAAGGCCCACTTCTACTAAAATAGGCTGGCCATTAAAAATGTCTAGCAGTGGCTGAAGAAACCAGGCCTGAAAAGTGAAGGATGCCTTTTGTGTGTTCACAGGTGAACCAGCAGATGGCTGGCCTGAGCCTGGGGGGCGCAAGCCCCGCAGCAGGCTTCAGCCAGCCCCCCAGCACCACGGCGGGGGCAGCGGGGTGGTCGGGGGCCTCGTCAGGTCAGACGCTCAGCACGCAGCTGTGGAAGTGACCCTGCAGCACGGCCCACCGCGCTCCCCCCTGACATTCCTGCGGAGATGCAGCCGGGTTCCCCTGTTCATTCGTGTACATAATATTTTTTTTTTCTCCCCATTTGTTCATATTAAGAATTATCTGATTGATTGACCGTGTTGGTCTGTACTGATGGATTAAATTTGCTGTGGTGAAAAGCAGGTTGAGAAACCATTTCATGTCGAGGGCAGCTTTTGCTCACATTTCCCAGGATTTCATAGACACAGTATCTGGGAAGCTGCTCGGTCAACGTGCATGATCAGTTTCCCTCTCGAGGAAATTATAGCTCTCATGTTTGCATATAAGGGAAGTAGCTATCATGTTTGTTAGTAATACCTCTAACAGTATGAACCCCACCCCCAGATTAGCCAGTAATCCTGTAGGAAGGTACTGTATGATCAAATGTTTAATCATATAAATAGAATGTCAATGTATCACTGAGCACTGTTTTCTAGTGTATCCAGATTCTTTTATGTCATCATTCACGTCACTGTGCTGTTGCTATGATGTGCTTAACCGGGAACGTGGTTAGAGAAAGGAAGATAAGCCTGGATGTTACTACAAAGTTAGTTGTTTAACGAATGTTTGAAGAAGTCAGATTTTACCTGCCTCCCTTGTAATTGGGATCTCTTCCTATGTACACATAGTGCTAACAAACACGAGACCTTTCTCTGCACTAGATGCAAACAGGGTAACTAAACAAGCCACTTCAACCCTTGAAGGCGTATCCAGGTTTATGACAGTAATTGTGTTTACATTTTATGGTGCCTAGTACTGACAGATGTCATATCCCTGTATTAAACAGATGAATCCATAGACCTTTTTTTGTGGGTTTTATTTCCTATGATGATGTATACTGCCACCAATCTTACAAAAGTTACTTCACGTTGCAGAGTCACAAATTGGGAATGTGTTTGTTGTTGACAGAACACTTGTCATCTGTTTGTTTTGAAAACCTGTTCAGTTCTACCAATTAATTATAAGGCCAAATGGGAAAAAAAAGTATGTAAGAAGATTCTGAGAATGGTACTAGCCTGCGTGCCATTAGCTGTGCTGTACAGAGACCCTCCGGGTTCCTTGTAAGGGAGCATGCAGAACAAACAGAGACAAGAGCAGATGTCTCTACCCGCGCTTAGCTTCCAGACACAACCACCCTGTAAGCAGGTGCCCGTCGGGAGGAGAGCAGAGGAAACGGCCCCCGGGTGCCCGCAGCCCTACCCCGCACGCCCGCCAGAGCACCAGCTGCGGCTCCGTCACACCTCGATCGTCACCGTGTCCAGGTGGTACTTGGGCTCGTTGGCTAGGTTCACCTTCTCTGTCCGAGTGTGCCACACGAGGACCTGCGGGGAGGAGACCTGATGGGTAGCCACGCTCTCAAGGGACACACAGCAAGGTCAAGAGACACGAGTGCAATGAATACCTTGGTGCAGTTACTTGCTTTCGGTTCCAGTTCTTCGACGGTCGTGATCTGCTTTAGAAAGTCAGATTCCTGCATCCCAGGCTGGGACCCACGACGCTTAAATACAGCTTTGGGGTTGGACAAGATGACTTGAAGGCTTACAGCAAATCCTTTGTGGAAGTTAAAAGAAAAAAAAGTCTTTAAAGTAAAATACTGGTGTACTTCTCTTTTTTCTATATAATTTTGGTCACATCAGAACCCATTTTTTTCAGTATCTACCATGGGCCAGGTCTTGGTTCACAGAGTTGAACAGGAGTGTTACCTGCATCATCATAGTCTCAGAAGGACAGCCTGCCTTTACAATAGAGCACGTCTGCCGCTCTGATCGAGGCTGTGTGTGGAGGGGTGGCTTCTGGACACTACGTAGCCTGTTGATGACAAAGGGTGCACGGCGCAGAGGCCGTCACAGCCCCCGCACGTTTGGCCTCTGGGAGTAACTAGAACTCAATACACCTGAAATGCACACAGTCTCGCCCTGCCTGTCCCCAGGGAGGAGGCCGCCCCGCTTTCCTGCCTGTCCTCTGACATCTCCATGTGTTCCTACCAAAGCCAGCGCTGCTCTGATGGACCCTGAGGTTAGAAGACGGAGGAATACAAGTCCGGTCAGTTAGCTGGGAAATGAATACTCTATAGTCATTTGGTAATAAATTTCCAATTTGATTCAATCTGAAAAGCGGGGCGTGGGGGGCTGGAAATCAGTACAGGAGATGATATCAGGCCATTTGGCAAATTTGGTTTTTGTAGTTCATTTTTCAAGGAAACAGATGAGTGTCAATTTCCTTAAATGGTTTGGCGTTACGAAAAATCATTACTCTTTAGTCTGTAGTTTAACAAACTCTGTGTTACAGGCTTAGCCATTAAGCGCTCCACAAGCCGTCTCTGGAAGCAGCTGTCACAGCCGTCCTAATTGTTGTGAAAGTCTTTACCCCAACCTCCGCTCTTCACGACTAAGCTGACACTGTAAAGCCAGGCGCCCTTCCAGAGTTAGGAGGATCAGTCTCCAGGAACGTTTTCTTAGCAACTTTTTGCCCTTCCCTACATTAACTGAGCTGATTTATGCCGCTTTGTGCAAACGCATAGTTAGCAAAGTTAGTATCGAATGATTCCAGTCAGTCGCGGGGGAGCTGTGAGCAGAGCACAGCCAGCATCCTCTTAACCTCTCCAGATGCGGGACTGCAGACCCGCGCTCCCGACCCCGCTGCCCCCGTGGGAGAACGCACCGCGAAGCTGCCTACAGACACAGGTGGGTACCGCAGGTGCTGAGCGAGCCCGAACACGGAGACAGGTGCTGCGAGCGTTGTCCCGAGGCCTGGCCCAGGATCTCCACCAATCCTGGCGGGGCAGCACGTCCCGGCAGAATTCGGAGTTAGCACCTCCGTTTTCTCGTGGGTCCTTGCGGCTGAGAACCGGCCAAGTCACTCAGCCTCTCTCGATTCTGAAACTCCCCCGTTTCCTCACCCGCAAGGGTGGCGTGACACCCCCTCCCCTCACGTCTGATGTGAAATTAGTGAACAGAAAGACTTCACTAACTGCAAAGCTCTGTTCAGAGGACCCTAAGATAGATAAATACCGATACCATTGTAAATACTGTCATGAGGGGAGGTGGATTAGCCACCGCTTATGGCTGGAGAACAGTGTTGACGGGAAGAGGCTCAGGAAAGTTCCAGGCCACCTGCGTTTCACCCCACTTGGCTAACAAGTCTGAAGCCTTCCTCGGATGTGGCTTCAACAGCCCCGGGCCCCAACAGAAAGTCAAAGGTTCAAATTAACACAAAAAAAGTGACTTCTACTAGGTCAACTCAGATCTTAGGATGAAAAGATTTCTGGGGTGGTTTTCATGTGCTTTTAAGTAAGCTTTTTTTTTCCTAGCTCAGAGTCTGCCCTTTTTAACCATACTGAAGCTCCTGGTATATTTCTCACATGGCCTCAAGGTACTGATTTTATTTCCCCATTCTCATAAAAAAAAAAAAAAAACAGGATCTGAGTTGCGCAGAAGTCATTGTGAAAATTATATGAAGCCACTTGGATCTGACTTTCCCCATTTTCCCTCAGACTAACACATTTATCATCGTGACCACTGAAGGATTCAGATTAAGAGTGTCTTCTTGCTTTCTGTAGCTCAGGAATATCCTGCTAGCTCTTAAAGCAGTTATATGGCAAAGTCTACCATATAGACAGGCAGAACTGACAGCCAGCTGTGAAGCTACACCCTGCTCTGCTGCAAGGCCCTTTCCTGGTCCCACTGGAGAATGGGGTGCAGGCTGGCAGCCCGGGGAGAGAATTGGAGGGCAGCCGGCTCACCACCGCAGCAAAGTGGTTTTCTATTTAATACAAAAGCGGGGGGTGGCATTCAGACACCTCCCCCCCCCCCACTGTCTTCACCAGGCCCTGCTCAGTGAGCTCTTCAAGGGAAGCAGGTCACAGCAGCACCGGGAACCACTCGAGAACTAGGCCAAGCCCTGGGCTGCCTTCTGGGGAACCGTCTGACCTGCTGTGAACCTGGGAGTTAGAATCCTCTCTCTGAAAGTCGGACAAGGAGTTTTTCGCTCCTAAACCATTGCTTCCAACCCAAGATAGGTACCTTGAGTTTTCTTCATTTCCAAGCACTTATTATGCCTCAAGTATCGTATGTACCCTTCCCTTTTGTCAGTGAAGTTAGTTTAGTTTTAACGATGTTCTCAGAAGCCTTTGAGATACTAGGAGCTTTATAAAAATCGTGAAGTAGGAGTCTCTGTCCTGGTCAGTTGTGTAAAAAAGTGCAAGTGAACACTGGTTATTCACAGTGAAAGCAGGATTTCCTGGCTTCTTCAAGTGGACAGGGTGGGTGGTGGGGACCCAGTGCCTCCCAGTCAGAAGGACCACCCTGCTCAGTGTATGTTTACCAATGAACACATGCAGCTCCAAGTCCATCAGGCCATTTCCACTTACTTATGGACAAGATGGCCAAAGCAACAAGGACTGGGTTTTCCCTACTGTCTTAAATAGCTAAAAACCAGACAAAACATTTGAAAAAATAGTTTCTAGCACTGGGGAAAAGGCACACAGGACAGATCTCTGAAAAGAAGAGACAAATGTGAGCCCTACAGTTGCCCCAGCTTCCCGCCTGAAGGCTACACCCCTGGGAGGGGAACACACACAGCTCTGCCGTCTCCTTGAGCTGAGGAAACAGGATGGAGAACTCGGGGAGGCCAAGACAGCTGGAATCCAGGGGGTGTCACCCCAAGAGCAGAGGGTGCGACTGTCTGCAGAGGGCTTGCCTCAAGTCCCACTGAGTCTGGTCAGTAGATGCTGGTGAGACTCCCTGAGTTCAAGAAAGGAACCACTGGCAGGAAACAGGTGGATGGATCAATCCCTAGAGGCCACTCAGGGCTGGGACAGGCCACGTGCCCCATGGCCAGGGCACAATGGGCAACAGCTGGGATGCTCGAAGAGTGCTTGCACGGCCACTGGTCCACTGTGAGGCCAAACTAGCCCTAAAATGAAGGCTTAGCTGGTTTGCCCAACACTTTAAAAGTAAGCCAGGAAAGGATCAAAATGTTTCTAAGTAAATTATAGCCCAGAAAAAAGCTAAAAGTAAATAAACAAATACATATATAACATGCAAACATATAATTATATACACACCCACATGTATATGTGTGTGTATATATGTAGAATAAATGTATGTTACACATTTTATATATACAAATACAATGAAATATAAGGAACCAGACACACTTTTTTCCCTAGAACCTAGCAACATAAAATTTTTAATGCCTGAGATACAAAAATGACCAGATGTGCAAAGAAGCAGGAAATTACAATCCCATAATGAAAACTCAGCAATCCCACTCCTGGGCATATATCTGGAAAAAACTGTAATTTGAAAAGATACACGCCTCTCAATGTTCACAGCAGCACCATTTACAATAGCCCAGACATGGACGCAACCCAAGTGCCCATCAACAGATGAATGGATAAGAAGATGTGGTCTACATATACAATGGGGTACTACCCAGCCATAAAAAAGAATGAAATAATGCCATTTGCAGCAACATGGATGGACTTGGAGATTATCATATTGAGTGAAGTAAGTCAGACAAGGACAAATAACCATATGATACCACTTGTATGTGGAATCTAAAAAATGATACAAATGAACTTACTTACAAAAGAGGAATAGACTCACAGACATAGAAAACAAACTTACGGTCACCAAAGGGGAAGGGGAGGGGAGGGATAAATTAGGAGTTTGGGATTAAGATATATACACACGCAGTAGATATAAAATAGATAAACAAGGAACTGCTGTACAGCACAGGGAACTATACTCAGTAGCTTGTAATAACCTATAATGGAAGAGAATGTAAAGAAGAAT